AGCTGGCTGGGAATCGGGGCTGGTTTCCTGTCTGGAAGGGAAGGGGCCCGCAGAGGGGAGCGGGGGCAGCAGCAGACAGGCACACCCCTGCCTTTCTCCCGCCCTCTCCTCCCTTCTTCTGGAAAAGCGAGGTAATTGTGAGCCCAGGGTGGGGCGGGCTGGATAAGGGCCCCAAGTTGGAAGAGGTGGCCCTGGGGGTTGGGCCCAGTGTACCCCTTTGTCCCGCTCCCTGGGCTCACCAGTTAAGTCCTCACCTCCATCCCTCTTCTTTCTGAGAGTGAGAACCCCTCTCAGAAAGCTCTGACCTGCTGCCCAAACCCACAACTCTGTAAAACCTGCGTGAGCGTCCCTTCCCTGCCCCCTTCCAGCTGTGCCTGCCCCTCACGCCCTACCGGCACACAGACTCTCTGTCCACCAGGCCAGGGATGTGGGCGGGGGCTGGGGAGGGGCCAGAGTCGGAATGAAAGGGCCTTTTTCTTCCACAGCTGGGAGAACAGCTGCCACCAAAGCAAGACTGGACACTCTGTGCCCAGAGCCCCCTCTGCAGCTGGCCTCCCTTCCTGGGACCTTCCTCACTCTCACCTCGCTTTCCTTTCTTCCCATGCCTGGCTCCCACCAGGACTCTGGAACAGTGGTAGGCAAGGGAAGTTTGTCACAGCTGCCAGAGGGGTGTAACAGGAGTGCAGAGGGACGAGGGCAGCCTCTGCCCTCTGCCCACTTCTTTCAAGACCAGGGAAGCAGCGGGAGGAGGAATTGTGGAGCAGCGTGGTGCCTGTCCAGCACCCCCCCTCTGGAGGGGTCCACAAGGGAAGGGGCAGTGGGGGCACAAAGATGCAGGACAGATTGCACATCCTGGAGGACCTGAATATGCTCTACATTCGACAGATGGCGCTCAGCCTGGAGGTAACGCCCCCACCCCTGGAGTACACCTCCTGTGCATGCACCCCAGCCTCAGTTTGCCCCCACGCAGCCCTGCTGGGGCTGAGGAGGGAGGGTGGGACCTGCTCAAAGTGGGGAGAGGGCCAGGTGGTTCTGTATGCCTTGTGTTAGATGCTGTGTGTGGACCTACGCTCAGTTCTGTTGAGCAGAGCATTATGTTGGCAGAAGGGTCTTTACACCTGTTTCTGAAAGCTCTGTGAGTGGGTGTGGATGGTGTTTTGGAGGGGGTCATTTAAGTGTGGAAAGAAGAGAGGACTTTGATGTAAGAGAGGTTTGTAGGAAGGCTGTGGCCTTGCTAGAGAAGGGGAGAGGGGCTCTGCATCAGGATGTAAGAATTCTGTTGGCCCTGGAGATGGCAGCGAGCTGTTTGCTCCTCTATTTATTCTTAAACACCTTTATTGAATACCTCTATATGTCAGGCTCCTTTCTAGACCATGGGATACAGTGAACCAGACAGGAAAGGCCCATTCACCTGGGGGAACATATAAACATGCAAACATGTAAATCATCTCACACAGTGAAATGATGGCGAAAATGGGATGTAACACACATCAGGTAGGGAAGGCAGCATTCAGTGTGGAGGTCAGAGAAAGTCTTTGCAATGAGATCATGAACTGAGACCTGAAGGATATGAAGGTATGTGAAGACTGGACAAAGGGCTTTCCTGACAGGGCATAGCAGGGGCAAAGCTCTCAGATGAGGATGTGTTCCAGTTCCAGTGTGGCTATACCTGGGGCTGAGGTCATGGACAGAGTACAGATTATGCAGGGCCTTGAAGGCCCTAACAAGGCATGTAGATTTTACTCTAGGTATGCTGTTGGCCCATGCAAGGTTTTGTTGGTTTGTTGGTTTGTTTAATTTTTAATGTTTATTTATTTTAAGAGAGAGAGAGAGACAGAGCATAAGTGGGGGAGGGTCAGAGAGAGAGGGAGACACAGAATCCGCAGCAGGCTCCAGGCTCTGAGCTGTCAGCGCAGAGCCTGATGCGGGGCTTGAACTCCTGAATCACAAGATCATGACCTGAGCCAGACTCAGCGCTTAACTGACTGAGCCACCCAGGCACCCCTACCCATGCAAGGTTTTTAACCAGGAACAGTACTTGTCTAATGTTTTAAAATAATGACTTCTGTGGACAATAGGCTAGGCAGGGGTTGGGGGTGAGAGAAAGAGTTGGCAAGAGTGGCAGCAGAAGACCACTGGACAGCAAGTTGTTACTGCCTTAGGGGAGTGAACGTGGTGGTGTGGAAGAAAGTGCTGGTGGTGGAGACAGAGTAGGGGCTGGATTTCAAATGACAGTGGTAGATCTGACAGGGCTGGTTGATGGATTGGACATGAGGACTGGACACTGATGGATTTGCCTCACAGCAAAGAGCGTTCCAGGTGTGTGGCTAAGCAGCTGAGTGGTGTGGCCATTTACTGAGATGGGGAAGGAGAAGGAAACCACAGAGGTGACCTCCTGGACAAGGCAGGAGATTGCTGTGGGGGAAGGTCGGAGGTGGGATTGTAAAGAGAGCACATCCTTGGCACAAATTGTGCAGGTTGTTTCCTTCACAAGGGTGCCAGGCAGAGGCAGGAGTCCTGGCCTGCTTTGGGGCTACAAACCTTTAGAGGGGACACCTTTATCTAACTTGTTTGCCTGGAGAGGGTCACCTATTTCTAATATGCAGAAAGATGCTCGGGGTACCTGGGTGGCTCAGTCAGTTGGGTGGCTGACTTCGGCTCAGGTCATGATCTCACAGGTCATGAGTTTGAGCCCTGCATCAGGCTCTGTGCTGACAGCTCAGAGCCTGGAGCCTGCTTCAGATTCTGTGTCTCCCTCTCTCTCTGCCCCTCCTCCACTCACATTCTGTCTCTCTCTCTCTCAAAAATAAATAAACATTAAAAAAAAAAAAGATGCTCAGTGAGCCCATTGGGACTCTGATACCACCTATTGTCCTGTGTTGGCACATGGGATAAAACCTAGTCCTTTGCACCGTCCATGTTACTAGTTACATGTGGCTATTTAAATGTATAATTTAGTTAATTAAAATGAAATAAACAATTTATTTCCTTGGTTGCTCTAGCCACATTTCAAGATGGCTGCTAAACATGTCCATCATTACAGGAGATACTGTTGAACAGAGCTGGTCTAGGTATTTAAATGTTTAAATTCTGCACCCTCTCCACTGTCTTGTGCTCCCTTCCCCCATGTAATTTTTCTTCATGGTAAGTCTGTTCAAGTTCTGGGGCAGAGGAGGGGGCTCAGATTTCACTTTGGTCATCTCTCCTTCAGCTACAGGCTGAGGGTGCTGTGTTCTTTTTCCACCAAACTCAGCAGTCTCCTCCCCCCAGCCCCTACCCCCAACTCAAGAGAGAGATCCACTGATATTTCAGAGATTGCTAAGAGAGGTACTCATGGAAGAATAAATCCAAGAAGACTTTCTGGAGGAAGCAACTTAAGCTGCAAGTAAAGGGGAGGTGGGAGTGAGAGAAAGGCTGTTTTTAAATATGTGCTGGGCCAAGGAAACAATTAGACTTTCCCACTTAATTCTCAAACAATACTATGAAGGAGATAGAACACTCCCCAGTTTATAGTTTCCAGAGGCTAAGTTCTCATAGCTAGTCAAATTCCCAAGCCAGGATTTGGATTTAGCCCCAGTGGAGATTCTGAAGGGAACAGAGGTGATGGGAAGCAGAGCAGTAAGTCAGGGACAGAAGAGAATGGGAGGGAGGGACAGGAAGATGTCCACGGAGAGCTTAATGTGTGCTGGGCTTCTGCCCATGACTCATCCTCCTTCAGCCCCTTGGGCCTTGACCCAGGTCCGGCTGACATCCAATTCTGGGCTCTTTCCCAGGAGAGTCTGGAGAAAATGCCTGCTTGGGGAGAAAGGGGTGTGTGGGTGGGGAGGGGGAGACAAGAAGCTATCCTTGGGGTGGGGAGATGGGGGCTAAACATAGGGATCTAGAAACAGTGCCAGGATTCCTGAGATGCTCTGCCCAAAGGGAGGAAGCAGGATTTCTAGAGTCCTCTCCTCCCTGGAGCTGTGGGAGAGCGGGTTTGGGGCCAGAGTAGGGGGGGATGATAGCAGGCTCATTCATTTAGGCTGAGCCCAGAAACTTTTCTATGGCCCCAGTTATTCCAATTTACACACTATCTTCCTCCCCCATGCTTTTGGGCAAGGGGTCACCTTGGAGGGCAACCGCAAAGCAGGAGGGGCCTCTGGCCTCCTGCAGCTCTAGCGGCACCAAGGCCAAAAAGCCCTTTCCAATGCGACGTGGGAGCTCTGGGAGGCAGCCTTGCGCACGACTGGGTCTCCTGGCTGCGCAGCTAGAGCCCGGAGCCTAACCCTGCCGGGAGCTGGGAGGGACCGCCTGCGCCCAGGAGCCCCTCGACTGCTCTCGCGGCAGTTGGGAGCTGATGTCACCATCGCCCCAAGCGCCACGGGCGGGAGCGTGCTTGCGAGTCCCCGGAACCAGCGCGTTGCCTGCGTTGGTGCCACAAGCGCAATGGACAGGGCTAGGGAAGGATCCGTGAGTGCTGGGGCCCGGACAAAGAGACTAGCCAGGAGGGGGCTTGAGGACGCCTCTCTGTGCCCTCCCTTCTCTCATCCGTTTGTGGTGTTTGTGACAGAAGCTGGATGCAGAATGGGATGGGGGTTGGCAAGCAAGAAAGCTTAGCAGAGGTGGGACCCTGGTGCAGACAGACATAGAGGGGCTGAGGGGTGGGGGTGGGGCAGGAGCTGTGTAGTCTGGGAGGGCTTCCTGGTGGAGGGGGCATTATGAGCTGGTTGGCCTATTTCTGAAGTGTCAGGAAGAGAAACAATGCTGGGAGAGGGGTCATGAGAGTCAGGCCTAGCTCATTGGTGGCCCAGGAAATAAATAGTGAAGGAAGAATGTTTTCAGGGAGGCTGGACAAGGCTTTCGAAAACAGGAATTTAGGGTGTTCAGGTCTTGGAGATGTGGAGGCTGGAGCCACCGGGGACAGAAGAAAGTGCCCAGTGTGATAATTGGTGTGAGGGAGAAGACAGGTTTTGGGTGATCACATTCACCCCCCTCTTCCAGCCTGGTGTCTCCACTTGGTTTCCTCTTAAACTAATCTTATACTGTAATGGGGTTAGTTTTCTACCTCCTTTCTGAAGGAGGTCACTTCTGGTCACTTCAACCAGAAGCAGACATGGTCTCTGTCCTGTGAGTGTGTTTATACCATGACATGGCACTTATGGTGCAGCCATTAATGTCTGCATCTGTCACCTCCCAGCTGGATTTTAAATGTGGGCCTTGGACAGCACAGGGATGCTCCAGGTTTGTTGGATGAATGCTACTGCTGTCAAAATAGCAGAATTTAAAAAAGCATCCTCACCATTCATGTATACTATGTGCTGGGCATTGTGCTAAGTGCTTTACATTCCTGGCTTACTGAATTTTCACAAATCTGGGATGTGGGGACTATTTCCATCCTCATTTTACAGATGGAGAAACCAAGTCTCAGGGAGTCTGAGTAAACTGTCTAGTGTATTTTAAATAAGTTTTTTCTCAGCTTATCAAGACTGGCAGGAATGTCACAGACCCAGGTTTGTCTCATGTCAGACTGGTGCTCTCACCCTCTGCTCTCTGCCAAGACCTCCAAGGCTCTTTCTGAGTGAATGTTCCTGAGAATCCTGGTGCCTCTCTCATTGCCTACCCACCCCCATCCTTATGCACAGCCTGTTTAGCCCCTCACTCCTGACCTCCTGCCTTGCTTGCCTTCCCATCCCCAATCCTTGCCTCTGTCCTTAACCTCCCAAGCTCAGATCTCCTTAGGCAGGTCCCCTAATTTGGAGTGCATACAGGGTTCTGTGCAGCATGGGTGAACTCTATACATGGTATGTTCCTTCTCCACCGATCCCTTGCTAACTAGATGCCCCCCTCCCCCAACTCATCACTAGAGTTTTTGGGGTAATCCAGGATGGTCTTTACCATCTTGTCCATTTTCTTTAGTTGGTGGTTCTCAGCCCTGGCTACACCTCAGAATCACTCGAGGAATTTTCAAAAAAACTCACACACTCCACTCTTAGAGATTCTTGTTCTGCACATCTGAGGCAGAGCATGGTAATGTGTTTTTTGTTTGTTTTTAAATGAGAAGATTAAAAATTTTTAAAAAGGTAACAATTTCCGAAAGTACAGTAGTAAAGAAGGCTGTATATATTTTTAAAGGTAGCATAAATCTGTTTTCCATTCCTGGCACCCAGGCCCACAACCTCATATATATACATATACATAGGTATATATATGTATATACATATACATATGTATATGTATATGTATATATATATACATACACATATACATATACATATACATATATATATATAGTACACTAATGGTAGAATTGTGTAATACTGTTTTCTTTTCTCACTTAATATATTTTGAAGATTTTTTTCTTATCTATGCACAAACGTTTACCTCACTCTTTAATGTCTGCAGCCTTTCATATTCCATGATATAGAAATGTTGTGATTTATTTAACCAATGCCTGAGTGAAGGACTTTTAAACTTGGTGCTTTAAAACAATGTTATAATGAGTGGTGTCTGGGTGGCTCAGTCAATTAAGCGCCCAACTTCAGCTCAGGTCATGATCTCATGGTTTGTGAGTTCGAGCCCTGCGTCGGACTCTGAACTGACGGCTCAGAGCCTGGAGTCTGCTTCAGATTCTGTGTCTCCCTTTCTCTCTGCCCCTGCCCTGCTCATGCTCTCTCTCTCTCTCTAAATAAAAACATTTAAAAATTTTTTTAAATGTTGCAATGAATATGGCTTTGTCAATAGGTATAATTGTATTTGTAGGATAAACTCCTAGATATTGAATAGCTTGATCAGAGGATACGTGAATTTCTAGTTTTCATAGATTTTTCCAAATTGTGCTCAACAGAGGCTGAAGGAATTTATGCTCCTACCATCAAATGCATGAGTGCATCTTTTTTACAAAGCTTTTCTGGTTATTCTTGGGTAGCTGAGGTTGAGTTGCCTAAAACATAAATTTCTTATCTGTTTCTCCTGGGCCACAGCCTACTTGGGGACTGGAGGGTGCTTCATTCTGTCCCCAACTGACATTTCCTTCTCATTCTTTCCCCCAACTCTGGCTAGGACACAGAGTTGCAGAGAAAGCTAGACCATGAGATCCGGATGAGGGAAGGGGCCTGCAAGCTGCTGGCGGCCTGCTCCCAGCGAGAGCAAGCTTTGGAGGCCACCAAGAGCCTGTTGGTGTGCAACAGTCGCATCCTCAGCTACATGGGTGAGCTGCAGCGGCGTAAGGAGGCGCAGGTGCTGGGCAAGACAGGCCGGAGGTGAGCAAGGGGGAGGCAAGGCCATGTGGGGGGTAGTCGTGTACTGTGTGTATCTACGGAGTGTGGATCACCCTGAAGATGACTTCTCCTTGAAGCCTTGTCAGAGGCCTGGGAGATGCCTTAGTGTTTTATCACCACAGTGTGCTGCCCAAGGTGCACTAAGGAGTAGCTAGGGCTAGACTCAGGAAAGCCAGTGTATCTGGTGAAAGGCTGTCAGTCTGAGGGGTTATAATGTAAAAGGGCTAATTTGCTAAGCCCTGCCTGTGATCCGATGAAGCTGGCTGGCTGGCTGGCTGGCTTCTGGAAAGATAATTTTCTCAAAGTGGGTTCACCAGATGGCCAATTTACCACAAACTGACAATAGTGTACCTAAGGTTCACCATCACAGGCAGTGCTCGAGAAAGGAAATAATAAAAAAACATTTAAGGGAAAGCCTATCTGCTCCCCTAAATTAGATTGTGTATTCTAAAAGGGGTCGGCTTCTGGATGTGAAACACCAGCTTCATGACATTAGATGTTGCTCATCTGACAAATCCATGGTGAATTGGTTGAGGTGATGCTCTGGTACAACTAAAGTGTTTGGAGAAAATACCTGGCAAATGAGGCCACTTTCGGTAGCCTGGTCATTTGGAAAACTGGCTCTGGCAAAATAAGCCTGTTTGTCCCCACTGCTGAGTAGGGAGAAGGCTCCAGCTGCCCACTGGCAGGGTGCCCATCCCAGCTTGGCCATGAAGGCTGACACAGGAGAGGTTGCCAGGAGCCCTCCACCCGTGAAGCCCCTGGGGGAAGGCAGATAACCAGCTCTGGCTTCCCCATAAAGCTAAAGGGCAAGCAGGCTGGGAGGTGGGGGGCAGTTTCCAATGTGAGCTTGCTATCTTCTGAAAGGCAGCCGTCAACAGGCTCTGCCCTGGCCATAAAACCTAGGCAGTGTGATTTGAAGTACATCCCAAATTGCTGACAGCTAAACACACTGTCATCAGTGCCACATCATTTAGCTTAAGGCCTTACTAAGTTGATAATTAGTGGAGCTATGAATTTGTATGGATAAACTCACTGTCACTTTAGGAGAGACACATGCTTGGTGAGTCCTGCTGACGGGTGGGGAGGGGAGTAAGGCCAGGTGTCTGGGGCCCTGCAGTGGGGTACTGGGAAGGCCCAGCCTACCTGGAGATGGTAAAGGAGAAATCAAAGCTGAGGGGGAGGGAAGAGAGGTTTATGGCAAATGGAACACAGATATTCTTTACTTGAGTTCTTGATTTTCCAACCCACCCAGTATCCTCCTGTATCAAAGAAGTGATGAAGGAGATGGTAGAGAAGAACAGCCTCCCCCATTGTTAAAAAGAAAGCCTGCAAACTCCTCCAAGTTGGGTTTAATGGAGAAGAACTCTTGAAAAGGAGTCTCTGCGGGCACCTGTTCCCTCAAGCCCCACTCATCCCTGGCAGGGCTCTGGGGAGGTGGTCAGAGAGGATGCTTGGAGGGGGAGGAGCCTGGAGCTTATACTGCATGTGAGCTGATACTCCTCCAGTGTCCCCAAGCCCAGTGACTCCCTGGGTTCAACTGACAGCTCTTACAGTCCCTCAGTCCTGCTAGGTCAGGCTGGTGGGGGACCTGGGGTTGGGCCCTGGGCTGGAGGCAACAAAGAACCCTTGGGAACCAGAACCGGGGGGTGGGGGGTGGGCATAGTGTCTAGAGGCAGGTGGCGATGTTGTGATTTGCCCACAGGCCTTCTGACAGCGGGCCGCCTGCTGAGCGCTCCCCCTGCCGTGGCCGGGTCTGCATCTCTGGTAAGAAGCACAACTCCCCTAGTCACTGGCACTCTTTGCCCAACCACAAGATCTCCTGCCCTGTCTCAACATCTCTTCCTGCCCCTCTGCCCCTCAGACCTCCGGATTCCACTCATGTGGAAGGACACAGAATATTTCAAGAACAAAGGTGGTGAGTTGCACACATGCTGGGACAAATGGAGGGAGTGACCTGAGGTTGGGTGTTCTTGTGGGCACATCTTTACCAGTTTTGGCCTCTGTCCCCAGACCTGCACCGCTGGGCTGTGTTCCTGCTGCTGCAGCTAGGGGAACACATTCAGGACACAGAGATGATCCTGGTGGACAGGACCCTCACAGACATCTCCTTTCAGAGCAACGTGCTCTTGTGAGCACCTGGTCCCTGTGACGCCCTCCTTTCTCCACTCTGCTCCAATCCCTGGATGCCATAGCTGCAGGGGGAGAGGAGAGGGAGGAAGGGAGATGGGCCTCACCTGGGGAGTTGTCCTGTACTTGCACCACATCTGTCCTTCACCCCTGCCCGCCCCCTCATGCCTCCCTGGACTTCCCCAGGAGCATCCTCCTCTCTTCCTCCCATACTCCTATAGCACCGAGGCAGGGCCAGACTTTGAACTGCGACTGGAGCTGTATGGGGCCTGCGTGGAAGAGGAGGGGGCCCTGGCTGGAGCCCCCAAGAGGCTTGCCACCAAACTCAGCAGCTCCCTAGGCCGCTCCTCAGGGAGGCGTGTCCGGGCATCGCTGGAGAGTGCTGGGGGTTCGGGGAGCAGTCCCATTTTGCTTCCGACCCCAGCTGTGGGGTAAGGCTCTACATTCCTCCACTGCCCTCAGTTGCCTCTGTCCTGGCTACGGGTGACCTCAGAGCTGTGTTGAGCATGCAGAAACTATTTTGTGCTGCTGCCACAGCATGCAGACCTACATGAAGTAGCAGTGGCCACACAGCTGGGAGGCACTCTGGCCTACACCCTGGAGCAGGCCCATGTCAACTGAGAAGACCAGTAAGAATGCAGGGAGAGCTAAGCTCTGGGGTCTTCAAGTTTTTGCAGCAGCAAATGCATCTTATATGGATAGAACAGAGTGCTCTGGTTGGAGCAAAGTAGCCTGGGTCCTGAGGGGTTGCCTGCTGATGCCTAGAGGCACCCAACAGAAACACGGGGCCTCTGAGAAGCAGTTTGAAAGCTCTAGGGCAGTGAACAGAATGCTGACTTTGGAGACACACATGAGTTCAAATTCCAACTCCACCACCTACCAGCTATAAATTTGGGGCAAATTTCTTAACTTCTCTAAGCCTCAAGCTGTCTCATCTATTAACAGAACAATGCCACCAACCTTCCAAGGCTGTTGTGGGAATACAGTGGAATAACATAATTAAACCACAGGACCCAGCACTCAGCAGGAGCTCAGTAAATGTTCTAAGCCCCGTGGAGGAGGCAAGCTAGTTTTCTGTGGGGCCGCCTGAACGATGGGGCAGATCTGCTTAGCTCTCAGATCTCCTGCTATTTAATACGCCGATCATGGGGCTGAAGCCCACTTCTCTGTCTGTCCTGCAGGGGTCCTCGTTACCACCTCCTGGCTCACACCACGCTCACCCTGGCAGCAGTGCAAGATGGGTTCCGCACACACGACCTCACCCTCACCAGCCATGGTGAGTATGTGCTGTGGGGTGGGGGGGATGCTGGACAGTGAGAAGAGGGGCTGTTGAATGGTCCATTTTCATTCCCTATCCTTACCCTGCACTTCCTGTCCCCCAGAGGAGAACCCCGCCTGGCTTCCCCTTTATGGTAGCGTGTGTTGCCGCCTGGTGGCTCAACCTCTTTGCATGACTCAGCCTACCGCAAGTGGTACCCTCAGCGTGCAGGTGAGGAGGGGGCCCTGACGTATAGAAGGGAACCTGGAGAAGGAAAGCTGGATCACCTAGGCACCGAAGGACCACTGAAAAATCAAGATCTGGGTAGAGGAAGGAGGGTTAGGGCAAGAAGAGAGTTGGATCAGACAAGAGCATGGGCAGAGAGGAGCAGATTCTCACTGGGGGAAAGGGAAGAAGGGTGTTGGCGGTGTGATTCCCCCAGGTAACCTGAGTCATTTACACAGCAAGCTGGGGAGCTGCAGGACTGGGCACGAGTGCATGGAGTCCTGAGAGGCACAAACCTCTTCTGTTACCGGCAACCTGAAGACGCAGACACTGGGGAAGAACCGTTGTTTACTATTGCCATCAACAAGGTGATGGGTCCCTTGGTGAAGCTACCAGGTGCCAGGGCCCAGGAGTGTCTCCTTCAGGTCCCAGGAGGGTGGGTGCAGAGAGATGGAAATTCACCTGTTGCTCCTAACAGCACCATACCTAGCTTCAGGGCCAGGAATGTTCTCCCTCACCAGCATCACTGGAAAACTCTTCTACTCACCAGCTTCAGCCCCTGCCTAGTCTCAGAGGGTCCCATGGCCAGTTTAGGATTTTCATCCTCTTTCTGCCTTTTCCCTCAGATTCCAATCTGCCCCTACTTCACCCTTTCCTGGATTTCTCTCCCAAACCCAAGTCCAATGACTTCTCTTGGTTTCCGAGCCCTTTTGTTGGCTTTCCTGCCAACTTTTATGAAAGTACTGAGGGACATTAGGCCTCAGCATTCCTGCGTGCCTCTGTGCCTTCCTTGCCTCACTCAATCCCTCCTTCCCTGTCTCCATCTGCTCCATGTTCCTGACTGAGGACGATCTGTCTCATCTCCAGTCCTTTCCTGCCATTCCCTCCTGCTCTGCTCAATAGGAGGCAAATAAGAGGGCTTGAGGAGAGACCCAACAAGCTCCTCCTTCTAAGTCAGGGATGACCAAACCTGCCTGATGTCACTGCTGACTTCTGTGACCAACGTGAAGGTGGCAGCAGACCCCTTCCTTCTCCTGCAGGAGACACGAGTCCGGGCAGGGGAGCTGGACCACGCTGCGGGCCAGCCCTTCACCCTGAGCATCAGTAACCGGTATGGGGAGGACGAGGTGACACACACCCTTCAGACAGAGAGTCGAGGAGCCCTGCACAGCTGGATGGAGGCTCTGTGGCAGCTTTTCTTTGACATGAGTAAGAGGAGGAGGCTGGTTTGAACCTTGGGAGGGATTAAGGTTTGATGTTTTTACCCAAGGCCTCTATATCCAAAAAGTGTGGAAGGGAACGTGGCAGGGGAGAGGATGGCCTGGCCCTCTCAGTCTTCCTCCTCCCACCCCAGTCACTGCCCTCCTTCCAGGCCAATGGAAGCAGTGCTGTGATGAAATCATGAAAATTGAAACCCCTGCTCCCCGGAAACCACCCCAAGTACTGGCCAAGCAGGGGTCCTTGTACCATGAGATGGGTGAGTGAAAGTGCACTCAGGGAACCTGATGGGAAGTGGGGTTGGGGGCTTCAAGGGAGCCTAGATAATGGCAACAGAGAGAAAGCACTAGACTGAGGCAGAGCTCTGGGGACCCAAGGCCCACTCGGTCTTCTTGTATTTGTTTCTCTTCTCCAGCTCTTCTTAGAGCCACCTCCACCAAAGTTCCAAACAAACCCCCAAAAAGCCAGATTCATTTCATGGACTTCTGTCCTAATTTCTTCTTCTCTGTTTCCCTTTCTGCATGTGGATTCCTGTCTCCTCCTCTGACCCTCCACTTGCCTGGCACTGCTTTCATTTTCCTCCTCTTTCCTTGATTTTTTTCACCCACTTCTGCCCACCCCCTCATCTCCATCCCCCCTGCTCCCCATATCCCATAGTTGTATCAGAGCCAGTGGCTCCCGGGGGCCCAGGTGAGGGGCTTCTCCTGCAGGATAACACAGTCTCGGCTGAGATCCGGGCTTTGCTTTCCTCCTATTACAGTGACAGGTGATGGTCAGGGCTGGGTAGGCCTGGGGCCTAAGCTCTGACTAGCCCCCTCCCCTCAACCCCTTCCTGGTGCCACAGCTATTGAGCCGCTGGATGACATCGCAGCGGTGACAGACATCCTGGCCCAGCGGGAGGGCACAAGGCTGGAGACACCCCCACCCTGGCTAGCAATGTTTACAGAACAGCCTGCCCTGCCTACCCCCTGCTCACCTGCCTCAGTGGCCCCAGCCCCAGCTCGGACCCACCCCATGCCCTGGGGGCGACCCCGAACATTCTCCCTGGATGCTGTCCCCCCAGACCACTCCCCTGGGGCTTCCCGCTCGGTCGCCCCTCTCCCCCAGCAGCCATCCCCACGGTCCAGAGGCCTCTTCAGCAAAGGCCCGTCCCGCACTTGGCTCCAGTCACCAGTGTGAGAGAGAAAGGTGCTGGCAACAGGATCTGGCCAGAGGAAGAGAAGACCCATGTGCAGTCAGGCTCTGGATGCGGCGCTGTCAGTAGAAGGTTGGCCAGCTTGGCCTCACCTTCCTCTGCTGGACTTGGGGTAGGCTGGGGAGGAGGAGCAGAAGCCCCTCTTAAGCTGTGGTTGCCAAGGTGTTGAGGGGCTCGTTCCTGGGACTGGCTGGTACCCCCGAAACCCTTCCTGGGAGAAAACTGGAACCAACCCTGCCCTACCTCCCTGCACTAACCAGCTTTGAGGATGGCACTGAAGAGCCTTGGGAGGGAGTGCACCTCCCTTGTGACTCTCACATCAACCATTAAAGTTATTTAACGGCAGCCTTCCCCTGGTTCTTGAGGACAGGTTGCCTTGCTGCTTGGTCTAGACCTGCCCCATCCCCTCATCCCTGGAGCTTAGTTGACCAGGAGTTGTGAAGTATAACTGTGATACTGAGTAATCAGACAAGGGCTGGGAGGAGGGGTACTTTATAAACACCACAGGGAGAAAGGAGGACTGCTCTTCTCTCACACGCTGCTGAATCTCAGGATCTCAGCGAGGTCATAGCCAGTCACAGCAAAGGAGCTCCCCGAGGGGTCACAGAATCGGGCACCACACACCTGGGTGTCAGGCACACACTCACCATGACAGTGTTCCACCTGGGGGAGAAGAGGGCTGCTCAGGGCCTGCTGCCTCAGGCTTGGGCCCCCCTCTCCACTCCTGCCACCACACACACCTCAGTGTAGCCACTCTCTGGGCTCCTGCTCAGTTTCCAGATGTGTACAAAGGTGTCTTCGGCTGCAGAGAGAAGCTATAGAAAAGGTGGTGGGCTGAGTGGGCATTGGTACATGCCGACAGGGGACCAGGATAGGCTGGGGTGCCTGGTCCAGATACCCAGGGAGAGGGCTACACTGAGCAGCAGACAAGTCTGTGGACTTTCTCTCAACATCCCCAGCACCAGGAACAGGGTATGGAGGGATGAAGAAGGAGACTGACCTTGCCCGCCTCGGAAGCCAGGTCCAGGGCGCAGATGGCCCGGGCATGGGCGCTGATCTGGACATGCAGAGTTCCTGTGCCGGCCTCATACAGACGCACCTGCCCATCCCCGTAGCCTGCTGCTACTGTCCCATGCCACAGCTGCACGGAAGGGCATGGGACCCTGCAAGGGTGATAACCCACTTTAATTTCCTTGGACCCCTCAGGAAGGCATCAGTCTCCTTCCACCTCACCTACCCAAATCCTGGAATTCGGGTCAATAATTTGAATTCGGGCCCTGACCGCCAGACACACAGCAAGCCTGAGTCATCTGCCGTCACCATGTCAGCCACACAGTCCTAAGGAGAAAAGCAGGATCAGTCCTTCCCTTTCCCCCTGCTGGGTCCTGTATACAGAGCAGGAGGGGAGGGGACACAGCATTCGCATCTTTGTCTCTCTAGGGAAAGGGCAAGACATGCAGCTCTCCTGGGCTGAATGGAGGGTTCCCCCAGGATGCATAAAAAGCTTTCTTTGCTTTCCTTAGAGCCTCACTCCCCCTGACCCCCGACAAACCATGTGTTAGGAGAGGGATATAACAATCTTCCCTGGAAGGATAGTAAAACTGAGCCCATAGTGTTACAACCTTCTGGAGGTCCTGCAGGGAGCCAGTGACAGTCATGACTAGAGTCCAAACCTCTTGAGAACCCCCAACTCCAGGCAGGCAACATAGCCCATGGGCCCAGCTGTGGGTCAGGTGCGGTGGAGCATATGAATTAGAAGATACATCCCCTGCTCTCAAGAGGTTTGCAATCCAATTAGGGAGACAAGAGTTGTCTTTGAGAGTAGTACCGATTCAGGGTTCTGCCAAGGGAGATCAGTGAGAACGGAAATAGGGGGATGGCTTCCCAGAGAGAGTGGCACTGGGGGTGGGTCTGAATAGGTAGGACTTGCCCAAGTCCAGAAAAGGAAGCTGCATGTGTCAGACTTGGAAAGCATCTTAGAAAACATCTGTCCCAACTCCTCAATCCACACTAGTATTGAAAAGTGTTCATGAACTACTAAATGCCACGTAAATGGAAAGTCAGGCTTCATCACTGGACTTAAGGTTGCTGAAGCCTAGGAAAGTGCAGCAATTTGCCCAAAGCCATCCAGCTGCTTAGTGACAGTCAAGACTTAAACCCGGGTGTCCTGCCTCCCAAAATGGGAAGGCTCCCAGGCTCCTTGGAATTGGTAGGGGGAATCCACTCACCTGTCCCTGGGCAGGTTCGGTGGCAATGTCTGTGACTGGTGTCTGGTGTCCAGCCAGCTCTTCACTCAGTACAATGTTAGGACCCTTGGCTGGGATGTCAAACACCAGTATCCGGCCCGACCATGTTCCTGCGGAACCAGTGTCCCACTGATGGCTTCCTGATCCTCCCCAGTGTCCAACCACCACACGTAGCACTCCCGCCATCCCATAAACCTTCATAACAACCCCCCGACACGGGGCCCCAACAGCTCTGCTCCTCCAGTGACCACCATTATTCTATCCTACCCTGCCCCTCTGAAGCCCTCCATGCTTTTCTGGAGTCTCTAAGGGCTTCCTTCGATCCCATCCTTCCCTCTAACCCTCAAAAATTCCCTCAAACCTTCAGCATCTTTCTGGCCAAAGCCCACACCCCTATACTCCAGCACCCCCCAATTCCCTGCCTTTGGCTCCCTCACCCACACAGATGAAGTGGCCACTGGCAGCAATCCCTCGGGCAAACACAGCCTGTACTGAGTATGAAAGGGGAAAACAATTAGAAATAGCACCTCCAGCCCCACCCAACACTCCCTACCCTGATGGCACTCAAGTCCTGCAGGTACCTGGAGATGCATCTCCAGAGTCCAGTGCGTGCCAATAGACCATGACAGAGCCATCTGACTCGTACATCTGCAAGACAAGAAGCAAGGATGGGGGCACAATCCAGCTGACCTTTGCTGAGCTGTGTACTTCACATATTCATGTCAGGCCTTAGCCCATTTAATCCTCAAAACAACTCTGGAAGGCAGGCAGTTTTTATTCCCATCTTACAGAGGAGGACACTGAGGCTCTGATAAGTTAACTAAATTGTCGAAGGTCATACAGCTAGTAAAGGGGAAGGTATTGGAGATGGCACTTGGGAACTGGAAAAGACGGGAGAAAGGAAGATGAGAACCGAGGAAGAATGAGCTAAACATGTGAAAAGTTTGTAAGCATTTAGAGACAAGTAGGGAAGGGTCTAGGGGCTTTGGGGAGGAGTTGAGAAAACTCTACTGGGGGAGGGTAGGAAGCGCCTCTTCTTACCTGTATTCCTCGATGTGAGGTGAGTACCAGCAACACTCGGAAGGGGAGGACACACCAATGGACCTAGAGGGAAGTGGCCCAGTCGGAAGAAGTGGTCAGAGCAGAGGACAGGAGGACTCAGAAGAGCGTTAAATCAGAGGGTTAGGGAAGGCCTATTCCTTGAGGTTTGGAGAGGAAGGACAGAGCTTAGGACCGGGTTCAGCAACACCACTCACCTGGGTGATAAGCGGAGGGCTCACTCCGGCTCCCTCCTTAGCGTGGAGCTGGCGCTGGGCCAAGGGCACACCTTCAGGGGCAGCGCTGACAAGCTGGGCGCTGGGTCCATGGACTACCCCAAAATGTGTGAGGTTGCGGGAGGGCAACTGCAGCACACTGAGGTTGTTGCACAGTGCAGCGGCCGAACCTCTAAGGGGAATGGAGCGCTCCCGGCGGAACATCCTAGTGAAGAGAGGCTCGAGTCACAGGCGCGCTGCGAACAGTAGACAGCGGTGATTACAGCGGGAGGAATGGGGGGGTGCTGTCATGAGGCACTAAAGACCACTGGGAGTGGGTAAGGATGTGATGGGGAACCCGAGGATGGCGATAGGAGAGTCCGGAGCGGGGAGGTCTTGGGGAGCGGGAAAAGGGAACCCTAGGGCTGAGTCATGGGGCGATGGGGAAATCCCAGAGGAGGAATGGTGATGGCACAGGACCCGATGGCCCCAAGCGCCCGAGCGAAGGCGGGGTGAGGCAGGGTAGCCACCGCACCCCTCTTCCTTCAGCTGGCACCCTGAAGCTCCCGGCGAGGGTCAGAGTTCACACCCGCAGGTCGGCTTGCCTGACTGCGGAATCTTGAGGTCCCTGCGAATCCACCGCCACCATAGAGACGACGCACGTACGCACGGCCAATAGGCGGGGCCGAGCAACCCAAACGTACAGAGCGCGGCGCGGTTGCCAGGGCAACTGTGGGCGGGGCGAGTCGGCCTGCGAGGGGTGAGCCTCTCGGTGCTAGGCGCCGTTGCTAGGGCGAAGGTTAGGCAGGAGCGGCGGCAGCAAGGCTGGGAAGCTGCTTGAAACCCCGGGGTTGGAGCGACCGCTGCGGCGATGGCTCACGAAGGCTCGGTGAGCTTCAGCTCGGCTGGGGGTGCGCTGGAGCACCGGAATCGGCCTTTAAGGTCGGTGGCGGGAACCATGCATCGGGTAGGCTCCGCGCTAGTCGGCGCCGGCCCACCATGGGAGCGTTGGTGGTGACCAAGGAAGCCACGTCGGTCTCGGGCAGAAAATCTACATCTCCACCACGCACGCTAACACGCTCTGCCACAGTCGGAACCTGAAGGAAAAAGTCAAATGGGTGGTGCAGAACCCAAGAACAGGGCTTTTTGGAAGCAGCTAATGCATGTAATAAGTCTCTTATACTGCGGTACCCATTCAAATGGATAAACCAGAATTGGTCAGGCATTGGGGAGAGGTGTTGCTAAATAAACTCCCTTTCAAGGATTTTTAAGAGAAAGAAATGGATTAAACAACTCTGAGGCTGCACTTAAAAGTCAAATTGTTTATGGGGCGCCTGGGTGGCTCAGTCAGTTGAGCGCCCGGCTTTGGCTCAGGTCATGATCTCAGGGTTTGTGAGTTTGAGCCCCGCGTCGGGCTCTGTGTTGACAACTCAGAGCCTGGAGCGTGTTTCAGATTGTGTCTCCCTCTCTCTCTCTGCTCCTCCCCCGCTCGTGCTCTGTCTCTCTCTCTCAAAAATAAATAAAACATTAAAACAATTTTTTTTAAGTCAAATTGTTTAAAAGCCAAGGAAACTTTAAATAAAACAGATTTGAGGAGGTTTTGTGCTATAATATTTCTAGCCCCTCTGGTCAGGCCATGTCTAGGCACGATCGCTATCACCGGTGCCACCCATGAAACACTGGGAGGGTAAATACAAGAAACAGACTCTCCTCTCCGGACCCTACGTGCCCTGCTCTGGCCAAGCCTGGTCTGGGCTGTGGGTTATTCCCTGGGTTTGCCACCAGGGCTGTTTTCACCAGCAGAAAAGGGAAATGACACTTAAGGGATTTTGAGGTTCAGTGTAAGGTTTAGGAAACACCAGATTTGGGGGAGAATGAATTTGGGAGGACATCTGGTATGAAGCAATAAGGTTGGGGTGAGGAGGCAAAGATTTGGGAAGATTACATTTAGAGGTACATTTTGGAAAGAACCAGGTTCAGAGAGACTTGAAGGAAAGTGAGGAGGTTCCCAAGAATCTGCTCATAAATTTCTTATGTCCCTAAAATGAATTTATGGAACCAATCTTTTTCTTTTTACATGGCGTTTTCTTGATTATAAAAGGATAAAGCCTCATTATAGTACAGAGAACTTATAAAATAGAGAAGAGCACAAGAAATAAACATATCCACTGTTACAGTTTTGGTGTTTTCCTTTTCTTTCACACATAATGGTTTATACAACTGAGATGATATTGATATCTCATTTTATACCCTGTTTCTATCATGTATCATTACATCATAAGTATTTTCATGTGCCATTGTAAATTCTTCCTAAAGATTATCTTTAATCATTGCATAATATTCCATAATATAGAGGGCACACAATTAACCATATATTCTTTTTGTTACACATATGTTTTAAATATGTTTAAATGTTTTAAATATTATGCTATTGTAAATGACAGCTCAGAGAGTATTGAAGGATATATTGTGATTTTCACTTCAGAATATGCCTTAAAGGAAGGAAGGTTGGACACCTTTTCAAATGTTTGTTAGTCATTTGCAGTTCCACTTTTGTGAAATGTTATGTCCTTTGCTTATCCTTGGGGTCTTAGGCTTTTTATTATTTTTATATGAGTTTTTAGTATACTTGGGAATATTTATCCTTTCTTATATTTATTGCAATTTTTTGAAAGCAGGATAAAGTCAGGTTCTAGGGGCAGACAGACCTGCATATGAATTATGACTCCACTACTTTCTTGCTGTGTAATCTGGGCAAATTCTGCAAAATGAGGATAAAAATAGCATGTAGTCTAAAAATGTAAGACTTGAGTCGATTGTATGTAAATGAAACACTTAAGTGCCAGTAAATGGTAACTACTGTCAGCTTGTACTTAGGAGTGTTTTTAAAATATGTACAGGAAAAAATTTGCATATATATATATATATATATACATATATATAGCTATTTCTTTATTATTTCTTACATAGCTTTTATGCTTCGGTAGGTCTTTCTCGCCCGGAAATTGTATGACAATTTAACCTATTTTTTCCTACATTTAATTTTTTGCTTATATTTTTATTTTATTTGCATGTGTGTATCCTTTAATTCATCTGGAGTTTATTTAGATGTATATTGTGAAATGAGGATCTAAGTTGATTTAGGGGAGGGAGGAGGCTCTAAAGAGCACTAACCATTTAAGTTCTTTGAACTCTCAAGGACTTTGAACCTTTTGAACTAGTGCCAATAGCAGGGACTGTGGCCTTAGAGCTATATATAGTTTGGGTATACTCTGTAATGTCAAGCAAGTGATGGTTAATTTGTGTTGTTTCAGTTTCTTTGTAAAATGGATTTAGTGAGCTGTTAAGAAAATTAAATTAGCTAGGTCGAACATCTAAAAATGCATCTGACACATTGTAGGCTCTTAGTGGACTGCCTGTTCCTCTCAAAAGGCTTTTCCTTCCTACTGGACAACTTGAGAAAGCGTCTTCCTAGCCTATAGCTGCGTCCCCATTACACTTTTCCAGGTTTCCTGCCCTGATTGCCCCGTTCTTTCCTCACAGAGGCAGATCCGGGACCGCGGGGTGACCCGATCCAAGGCGGAAAAGGCGCGACCGCCTACGGTTCAGGTACCACAGGTGGACATCGTGCCTGGGCGGCTCACGGAAGCGGAATGGATGGCGTTCACGGCCCTCGAGGAGGGAGAGGATGTTGTGGGGGACATCTTGGCTGATCTGATGACGCGAGTAATGGACTCTGCCTTCAAAGTCTACCTGACCCAGCAGGTGGGTCTGGATGGGGGTTTCCAGACCATCTCCACCCCGCCCCCCCAAACTGGGCTAAGACCCTCTCTCACCTCCGTAGTGCATTCCATTCACCATCAGTCAGGCCCGGGAGGCGATGTTGCAGATCACCGAGTGGCGCTTCCTGGCCAGGGACGAGGGAGAATCTGCAGTGGCCGAGGACCCCACGTGGGGCGAGGACGAGGAACCTTTGGCATGCACGACGGATGCCTGGGCTCAGGGATCAGTGCCCGTGCTGCAAGCGCCCGCCTCTGTGGGGCTGGAGGAGATCTTCCAAGGCGAAGTAAGCACAGCCCCCAGCTCCCTCCGCCCCTCATCCCCCTACTCTGTGCCTCGCCGCCGCCGCTGCGTCTTCCTTCTCCTCACGGCCTCTCTGGATTCCTCCACCCTTAGTTCCTCTCTCCCCTTTCCAATGTGTCACTATCCACCCTCCACCCCTAACCTCGGTGTATATCCCTAGGACCGAGGGAGCGTGGACCAGATCTCTTTAGGAAGATCGTGGACGGCGAGAGGCTCTCAGGAGCAGATGGAATCTTGGGAGCCTTCTCCAGAGCTGCGAGTCACTCTGGGCCCCCCACCTACCCCAGAGCTGTTTCAGGAGACAGGGACCGAGGGCCTTTTAGAGGAACTGGACGTCCAGGCCGGAGACCATCAGTCTTCGGCTGGATCCTTGAACTCGAGCAGCCAGCTGTCGGTGGAGATGGCTGTCGACGGCAGTCCCCCACCTTTTCCGGATTTGTCCCAGGTAGCCAGCACCCAGGCATCAGCCCAGAGGGTACCGCCCGGCAGCTCCCAGTTCTCGCTGGAGGACCTCTATCATTGCACCGCCCAGCCGCACGCGGCTGGGGACTGGCTGAAGCTCAAGAAGGAGAAAGTGCCCCGCATGGACGGCCCCTCCTCCTCATTCGAGCCACAGGAGCCTAGGTGCGCGGACGCGCTGCGGGGCGCGCGTCACTACAGGGTGGGACGCATGGCCCGGGCGCGCCTGGACCCCGCGCGGCTGCCGCGCCACTGGGTGCGCCCGCTGGCTGAGGTTCTGGTTCCAGACTTCGAGGCGCGCCCGCTGGAAGCCTACCGCGGGAGCAAGAGGGGCGGGAAGACGGAGGCTCGGGCCAGACCCCTAGCACCGGGCCCCAGTGTCCGCGTCTCCCCGACAGTTTTCTTTTCTCTCTCGCCTAGTGCTCCTTTCCGTGTCTTGGGCCCGGGCCCTGCTCTCCAATCCCCCTCTCTGAGCTTAGGCCCACCGCCACCAGGCTTTGGGTCAAAGCTGGCCTTTCCCAGCCCTGGGCTTCGCTTTCTTGCCACCCACCCAACCCTCCAGGATCTGGCCCGGAGCCCCAGCCCTAAACAGTGGCCAGGTGCCAAGTGGCCCAGTGGCTGGGAGGGGGCGGCTGAGTTGCTGGGCGAGATGTGGGTAGGCCGCTGCCACGTACCTCTGCATGGCCTTCATCCCAGGGACCTGGAGGGTCAGGATCCACACAGGTGGCCTCAGATGGCATCCCGAGTCCTCGAGGCCACGTCCCAGGTGATGTGGAAGCCCATGTTGCTGCCTGAGGCAGTGAAGCTGGCTCCTGGTGTGAGCTTGTGGAACCCAACCACCCAGGTGCTGCTCAGATCTGCAGTACCCCAGCAGGCAGACACAGAAGGCAGCATCTCTCTTCCCATCCAGCAGCACCCCATCCAGACCGGTGCCCCAAAGCCTCAGGTGACCATGAGACAGCTAACGAAGAACTCAACACCCAAAGTGTGGCCACTCCTCTCCAAGGACCTGACCCATTCTGGGTCCTGAAGCTCAGCCAGTACTTTCCTTCTTTCTACTTGCCAGAATAAACACCTCAGTTGCTTTAAGAGTTGGCCTGATGTCTGTCAGTTTCTTCCAAGGGTGCTTACTCAGGAGCAGTTGTCCTGACGGCCTGGAAGGTTGTGGAACACTGGGTCCAGGGAATAACCCCATTTCCACCCTTAGGAGACCCTGCATTAGGGCCAAGGTTGCTCCCCAGCAGAGGCATTCTGGAGAACCATCTCCCTCTCTACAAAGGAATAGACATAAGGGCTACAGGTCGGGTCTGCTTCAACTGGACGAACTTAAGAGTCTCTTTGCAGTAGGGGACTGAGGGGACAGCCCTGCTTAAGCACACCGTGATTAAAGATGGGAGAAATTTGATATTTTGCTTCTCCAGTTCTGGAGCTCATAAATTCACCTTAGGGTGGAAGTCCAAGTTTCACTTGTAGACCACTATGAGCCTACACAGGAGAACACTGACTCTAGGCCAAGGATAGCAGCGAGGCAATCAAGTGACTAAGGCACTCAGTTGAAGGTGGAGTTCACTTTCAGTTTCAAACAGGTTGCTTGAACAAATCAGAGAGTAACTGCCTCTTTAAATTTTGTGTCCTGGACAGCACACCAGCCTGACTGCTCAACCCCACTCAGCTTTGACTAGCTCCTCCCCAAATTACCTTCACTTCGGCACAACACTTCTGGTAGGAGGTCAGCAAGTTTTTGCAATGTTGCAGTGGTCTCTACTCAGCACCCTTGTCTGGAGCCCTGGCTCTGTCCTGCTCATTCTGGTCCTCCTGCATAGACTATGTATGTGGCCTTGGCATAAGTCTCATCTTTGGGACCTCCAGCACTGCTCCACAGACTTGACTGGGAAGACAGCGGTGGTGACTGGAGCCAACAGTGGTGAGTGCCCTTCTCATCCTGCCACCTCATTTGGCGTCTCAGTCCAGTCCCCCAGTAGCCCCAGTGAGGCTGGCCAGAGGGCCAGCACGCACTTTAGTCACACCCCAGACTAGCCTATTCTGAAACTGCCCTTCTACAGGTATTGGGAAGGCCGTGTCCCAGGAGCTGGCCCGCCGTGGGGCCCGGGTGATCCTTGCCTGCCGTAACTGGGAGTGTGGACAGCAAGCCCTGGCTGAGATCCAAGTAGCCTCGAAGAACAACTGCCTCCTGCTTGGCCAGGTGGACTTGAGCTCTATGGCCTCCATCCGTAGCTTTTCCCGGTGGCTTCTGCAGGAGTGTCCTGAGATACATCTGCTGGTTAACAATGCTGGAGCCTGCGGTACATGCCTTGAACTGCTGCCCCCAGACACATTGCAGGAGCCTCCTTTCCAGTTCAGGGACCCTAAAACAGGCACCCCAAACCTAACTGGTGCACCCTGCTGAATAACTTTAATTCGTACGTGATCCTAAAAAGCCTACCTTGAGTAATAGCCCCCATCCTTGCACGTACATGTTCCTGTGGAGTTTCTACTGAATGCCAATATATGCCCTAGGTCTGTATCCCTCCATCACCCACTACCTATGTTCTCATTTCCTCCCAGGATTTCCCAAGACACTTACCCAAGAGGGCCTTGATCTCACCTTTGCCACCAACTATGTTGGGCCCTTTCTGCTTACAAATCTACTCCGAGGTAAGGAAGGATGGCTGCCTACCTTCTGTGCTGCCCTCACTTCTCATTCCCCTGGCATTTTCGTAGCTTACTGTTTCCAATGGCTACTTCCTTTCCCTTGGCCTCAGCTGTTCACCGAGTGATGACACAGTAAGCTTTTTGATGCACACAGCAGGGCAACCCGCCTGACCTAAGTCAGGACTGGGAGGCTGGTACTAAAATCGGTCAGGCCAAAATATAACCGGCAAGGGGATATAAGATCCACCTCTCTTTCCCCCAGCTCTGAGTTCTAGGTAAACCAGTAGAGTCAGTCATCTCGACAAGAGCTTCTTAAGGGTGGCACTAGACCACTAGGAATATAGACACCAAGAATGCCTACTTCCTGCTCTCAAATAGCTCAATATCCCCCAGGAATCTAGACAGAACACATCACTGTCTTGGACCCAAGTCCTTTGACTTTCTGATTTTTGAATCTTTTCTACTTAAGGAGGTTTGGGTTCTTGCTGGGGAAGCTGGGGCAGAGTGAGTGGTGGGCACTTTCTTCCTAACATTTTCTCCTGGATTGCACCCTCTTTAAAATAAAATCAATTTTGGGGGTTAGGTAATATGTGTCCAAAACATAAAACTGAAAGCGTACAAAAGGGATGACATTTCAAAAACTCTCCTCTCAGGGGCGCCTGGGTGGCTCAGTCGGTTAAGCAGCCAACTTTGGCTCAGGTCTTGATCACTCAGTTTGTGAGTTCAAGACTTGCTTTGGGCTCTGTGCTGGCAGCTGGGAGTTCAGAGCCTGGACCCTGCTTTGGATTCTGTGTCTCCCTCTCTCTCTGCCCTCCCCCGCTCACTCTCTGTCTCTCTCTCAAAAACTGAATAAACATTAAAAACAAACAAACAAAAAAAACAAAAACCCTCTCCTCTTCTCCTTGAAAATCAGCTACCCGTTTGCCTCTTGGGAGGCAGTTTGTGTTGCCAGGATCTCATGGGCTCTTTAGTGGCTGATTAAATTAGCCACAAAGGGAAAGTGAACAAGCACAAGGCAAAACTGTATGGGTTTGCAAGTAGGAATGTTTTGTCTCCTTTGCAAAAATTCGAACACCCTGGCTGCACCTTGCTTAGTAGTAGGTTCTTAAACTGTCTTTTCTCTTCTTCTTCTCTTATCTATTCTTCTTCTTGCCACTTCTAGAAATCACTTTTCACCATATTACTTGCTTAAAATCCTTGGAAGGAAGGTACTCTATCCTTTACAGGAGAGACTCTAAACCCCTTATCTCCACTTACAGACCCCCTGCAGACTGAGCCTCGCCTTTTGCCCTTCCTTAATCCACACTTTTCTCTCTAGCACACAATCTGTAGCTCTTGGTCCGCACTTTTTCCCCCCTCCAGCTGTGCTTTTTGCACATGTAGTTGCCTCTATCTGCACTGTCCTCTCCCACTCTTTTACCCTGACTAACTTTATTTAGTTCATCCACCAAGACTGAGCACAGATACTGCCCGTGCTGTGAATCTTGTCTTTCACCTCCCCCAGCAGCCTCCCATTTATGGGGCTCCCTTAGCCCTTGTACACATCTCTGTTCCTGCATTGACATTGTTCCAGGATGATCGGTCTCCAGTTAGGCTGTGAGCCCCTTTAGTCTTTATGTCACTATGCCTAAAAGTTTGGGGTCTGTTCTCTTTAAGAATAATTCTTTTTTCCAGCAAAATTTTGGCTAAATACCACCTGCTCAATTTTTCATTTGTGATTCTTAATTTAAATGTAGGGCTCAAAATAGTTTTAGCATTTTGAACACTGTAAACTCATATGTGACAACTACTATTTTTAGTATTTTATAGAATCCAGACTATATATATATATATGTGTGTATATATATATGTATATATACATATATACATATATATATACACACATATATATATGTATATAGTAAGGCACTTAACATTTTTTTTAATGTTTATGTATTTATTTTGAAAGGGGGAGGGGCAGAGAGAGAGGGAGAGAGACAATCCCAAGCAGACTCCGTTCTGTCAGTGCAGAGCCTGATGTGGGGCTCGATCTCATGAACCATGAGATCATGACCTGAGCTGAAATCAAGAGTGGGACACTCAACTGACTGAGCCACTCAGGTGCCCCCCACCCACTTTTTTTTTTTAAGATTTAATTTGTACTATTTATTGTATTTATTTATTTTTTTTTTTACTTTGGAAGATAGTGGTTTGTTTGTTTGTTTTTTTAACACTTTCCCAAGTGTCTCTATACACATTTCTTTCCCCACTCAACCTAGCACCCTTATGTCCTTAGCACCTATCTTGGTGTCTGTCACGATCCAGAGACCTAACGAACATTTGGGTGACAAATATGTGAAAGACAGGTTACATGATGTCTCCAGTCTCTCCTTTTCCCTCTTGGCCACCAATGAGGTAAAACATAAATAAGGATCCATTAAATTAGCTCCAGCTGGCAAGTGGAAGAAAAACAAGGCAAAAGTCCAAACTCTACAATGAAAGAGGAGGAAAAACATTAGGAAAGTAGCTAATGAAAATGAGTCTCAGTTCACATTAAGCTGTCCTGTGCCTAGCCTGGGGAATGTGGGGGGTGGGCAGTGACCCTATCCTGAAAATCCTGGATGGTCCCTGCTCTCTTGGAGTCACCTGGAGAGGTAGGTTGGGGAGTGGGCATGGGAGTTCACTCCAGAACTTGGATCGAATGAGTGTGGTTCTCTTTCTACCCAGGGGCCCTACAGCGGGCAGGATCAGCCCGGGTGGTGAATGTGTCTTCCTTTCGGCATGCATATGGGTATGTTGATGAGGAACATCTGACAGGGGCTGGTAAACCCTTGATCTTTAACCAGAATTATGACTGCAGCAAACTGCTCTTGACCTCCTTCACTGGGGAGCTTGCCCGGAGACTTCAAGGGACAGGTAATTGCCTGTGAAACCCCCTTATTCCTCCATTCCCAACACCACCTCCCAACAGTCCACATCTCATCCCAATATGTTCTGGCTAGTGTCCCCCAACCCAGCTGTTAATCTCTGCCATTTTTCATCTATGCAGCCTGTATTTCACTCAAGTCTGTCTTCACATCTCCCTTTCAATCTTTCCAACTCTCTTATCACTCCTAACATCCCTTTCCTCTCAGTATTTTCCAATACCAACACCATCCGTTATGTTCCTCCTAAAGTTCACCCAATGCTTTCAAATACTTATGTCTCCTTACTGGCTTGAACGCTACCATTCGTGTAAGTTCCAGAGGACCGACTTCCTGGTCCTCCTGGTCCTTCCTGGTTACGTCTGCCCACAGACCTGGTAGGATCTTTGCATTATTGCATACTGGAGAACCGCACTTAACTCTTTCTTCCCATGCTCTACTTGTGTCTCATCCTTTCAGGTGTGACTGTGAACTCTGTGGACCCGGGTATAGTGTACACAAGTATCATGAAGCATTTTTCTTGGTCATACCGCTTCCTCTTTTGGCTCTTCAGCTTCTTCTGTAAGGTGGGTAGGGGAGGAGCTGGCTAGCCTGAAGAGGGTGGGGCAGGGCTCTGCTTCTGTGTGTCCCCAGTAGGCTAAAGTCAGCTTGGCATGACTCCTTCTCTTCCCCCATGTCTCTACAGGATGTCAGACAAGGTGCAGTCCCAGTCCTCTACCTGAGCTTGGCAAAGGAGCTGGATGGCATTTCTGGAAAATATTTTAGCAGTTCCTGTAGGATAATTCTTCCCGCGAAAGCTGCTCAGGATCCTCAAGCGGCCCAAAGGCTCTGGAATGCCACGGTCCAGCTAACAAACCTGGACAAGATGGACTGATCCTCCGTGCCCCCAGCCCTAACTTTGCCATCCTCCCTGATTCCCAGCCCCTACTCTGATCCTGCCTTTTGTTTGTTGGCTCCAAGCATCAATCACCTTGTCTAGTATAGCAATCACGTCCTTTTCCTGTTGCCTCAGTGGCATGAGAGCTCAGATTAGCCAGGGGACAGTTTTAGCTTCTACTTTACTGCCAGTTCTCTAATGGAAGTGTTCATTCCTTGGATACTGGGATCTCCAAATCTACAGAGTCCCACGTTGTGGTGACCGGGGGGGGGGGGGG